AATTTTCATTCTCAATCAATGGTTCAAATTGTATCCAGGTTAATTTGTGCACACTTTAAAAACATACCAAATAAAGCATGTTTATTTCCATTTCTTTGATTCCATACAAGGAGAAAATAGGAAAAACAAACAATGGAAAGAAAATCCAGATCAGGGAAATCTCTCTGAATTTCTCATTCATGATAGGAAGAGCAAATTAAATAGCATATGAGAAATATATGTTTTCTCTCCTGATACACTTATTTTCATTGACCTGTTAATTCTGAACTGAAACTTCATCTCTGTCTCCCATATTGTATCATTCTCTACTTTTAAAAAAACTGGATCCAGGATCAAAAACATATTTTCTTGTTTTTCTTTCCATTGTTTGTTTTTCCTATTTTCTCCTTGTATGGAATCAAAGAAATGGAAATAAACATGCTTTATTTGGTATGTTTTTAAAGTGTGCACAAATTAACCTGGATACAATTTGAACCATTGATTGAGAATGAAAATTAATCACGTCCAACGCAAGTTGCCGATCAGGTCAATGCAATTTGGATTTCCAAATCAATTTTGATAAAATAATTTCTTCAAATGGACAGAAACGTTCAACATAAATAAAATATTTGGCAATTTAATTCTAATTTCTGATCTGGAGATGTTTGAATTCAGTATGAAGGTAAATCATCTTTGAATGAAATCTCTCAATCAAAGCATCTCCCAGTGCCAATTTTAAAAATGTGTCCACAGGAGAGGAAAACGGATACACCCCAATTTTAAAGTATCATAGCAATTGTCTCTAAAATAACCATAGTTGGAAAAGTAATTCTTGGTTCTTATTATACTTTGTAGTTAATTTACTGTTAAGAATCAGTTCCTGCTAGCTTGTTTATTCTTGTTCTCTGCCCATCTCCTTTTTTTTTAGTGCTATTTCCAAGAATGTTATTAATTAATGGGGCAGAACTATCCCATGTATAGATATCACTGTATATGGCCAGAAAACTAGAATGAGCGGCCCAAATTATACAAATATTTAGCTGAAGGTAAATCTCACTGGACCTACTGGCATGTAATAACAGTGTATGTTTGTGTGTGTGTGTGTTGTGTGTGTGTGTGTGTGTGAGAGAGAGAGAGAGAGGGGGGGGAGGGAGGGAGAGGGAACA